ATTGACCGTCACATTATAACGCCCCACGGCTGAAGGGCGAGCATGTTTGGTGGGACGGGGATGCGAACCCGCGACCACCTGGCCATGCCGGCCATTTAGATACAATTTTAGTATTTATAAAGTTACGAACCAAGCCTTTTTACATAATTTTCAATAATTATTCCTGTCACATCAAAAGGAAGGTCTTTTTAAACGATTTTCATAATTTTATTTGTTAAACAAAGGAAATTATGAAAATTATAATTGATGTTAGTAAAAACTATGTGTTACTAGATGTACTTGCACATGGACCCCGAAAGTGTTTTGTTTCAAGAGTAAATAAAACCAAAATTAACAGTAACAAATATTTTTATTTCTTGCTTTTCAAGTTCATAGGTCATGCTGTGTTGTAGCCTACAGAGTGCATAATCCTTCTCGTGATTCATGGCATTCGCACGTTTTACTGACTTCACGAAAGTACAATCTGCAACGTTAAGCGTTCCTTATGTGACGTAATTTTAGTGGTGCCTACTGATTGACTGACAGACAACACATCCCTGTGTATTGTGGTGCGAGTGGTTAGAACAGGTGACCCCTCCAGACGGCCTTCGGCCCCTTTAGGGAAAATGAAACGATTTAAAGATATTTTACTTAAGAGAAGCTACCAGGCAGTCTTATACACGCATTTCTATTTTTCCATATGACTTCAGAAAGCTGTGTCGGATATTCGAAAAGAAAAATGTATTTAAAAACCTATAATTGCAAGAACTGTAGGTAATTGCAAAACGATTAGTGTTTTTTTTTTTTTGCAAACTAACATTTGCAAACAAACCTTTGTGAATATTATTGTTTAGGAAACATTTGTAAGTAAGAGTTATAATATCTGTAGTAAAGGATGTCGGTTTTGTTGATTTGGAGAAAACTGAAAATCGAAAAAAAAAGAGGGAATGATAAATTTGACCATTAAACGTTTAATTATTATTCAACTATTTATGTTCACGTTCTCGTTTGTATTGATCTTTCAAACGGACAATTTAAAAACAAGGTTAAATTCCATAACTCGTGTAATATAATGCAATAGCAGTTAAGTTATCTTGACTGTTCTAAACAGTTTTAATATACAATACTCACGAAAATGAATAGATAATGATGTTTTGATATATTCTTTTTTCAAAATTAGAAGAAAAAAGAAACATGGATGGGGGGTGGCGTTCAATATTGATGAAAATTGTTTATTACAATTATCACATGTAAAAAAAATACCAGGCAAATTGAAAAATTCATTTACAAATAACAAAAGTGCAAAATTAAAAAAAAACTGCCAATATTTGGCTGTACAAATATCAAAGAAAATATAACTTGTTAAGATGAATAAACTCAACAAACGAGTTTTTAGTAGCTGTTAGGTCCTCTATTGTTTATGACTTCTCTGCAGCTGTTTCCCATACTGTTGAAGACATTTCGAATGACTTGCTGGGGTACCACAGTTCACTCCTGGTTGTGGACAACTCAGAGCTCCTAAATAGTCATAGGAACAAGTTGTTTGTCTCTAACTATTTTCCCTAGCAAGTCCAACACATGTTTCAATACCCATATTCCTTCATCTTGAAAAAAAACAAAACAAAAAAAAAAACTGCTGCATGATCCTGGCAGTGTGAGAAAGGGTGCTATCCTGCTGATACACGAACTTATCTCTGACAACAACAGCAAAAGGGCGAATTGTGAGTAGCAGGATCTCATCCACGTAACACCTTGCTGTTAGGGATCCCCCATCCATCACAAAGAGGTATGTACGCCCCTGCATGCAGATGTCACCTCAAACCATGACTGAGCCACCCCCAAAAACATTATAGTGGACAGGGTTACAGGCCGAATATCGCCTTTTGCTTTGCAGAATTTGGGTAATTTCTTCTAAAGGCCTATTACATAAGGAATCATTGGTGTGCAAATGTGCAATTCCTAGATAGGATTAGTGTAATCCCCCTACAATAAGCATGCTAATTTTTTTTTTAAATTGATAACCTACAAATTTATAAATTTAAACAAATCTCATTATCCTTTAGTTTTTTGTGAGCAGCGTATATTACAATAAAAAATGTTTTGTCTATATTTTGATTATTTCTCTTTATTGTAGATGAGCGACTACAATATTTTCGAAAGCGCTTATTTTATATACACAATTTTAAGCTATTTTTTAACACATACGTTATTTTAAGTAAAAATATTAAGTTCATATTTATTTATTTGAGTGGAATCTTAATATGTTAGTTATTTTATATATATTATTCATATTCAGTGGCTAACATTCTCAACTATTACAACTTACTTTCATTAGCTTATAGAATAAAGTGCGGTTATAATTCGGTTGTATATATAGTACATATAATATTCTTCATTCACTAGATGAATATCCTTCCCACAGCCCTGATCCATATAATACAAGGACTTGCACTCATCACGCGTTGTAACAACATATTTTCATTAGTCCGCAATGATCGCGACATCTTTCGGTCACGTTCGGTACTATTCAAATATCTAATAAAACATGGTGTGTAAAGAATAAAGTTAATGGAAAAAAAACGAAATTACGGTTGAATGATGCTTATTCAACAGTATCCATAATACAATAAAATTATTCAAAAAATCCAATCTAAATTAAACATATCTTACCTATTTTTAATTCGCTTGTTATAGTGATGTACGGCTGAGAGTTGTTCGAGGGCGCTGTTGTCGGTCCTGTCGCCATCACCGATCTGGTAAGTAAAGAACCGGGTTTAGCTATCTTGCTGGGTGCATTAATTCCAGATGTTTTTTGGCTAATCATGGCCAGCGGACTTCGTGATATACGAAAATTTAAAAACTACTTATTATTCTTCTACACAGGTGTTCACTAAATGTAAATACTAGAATACACAGCGAAAAGTTACAAACATCATATAGTCCACATGTGTCGCTGCCGACGTTCTTGTATATCACATTGCAGTTGTTAGTACGAATAACTCAACGAAAACTCTGCTAGTAGCAATCCACAGAGGAGGCGCTTCATATATTAAAATTGACTGATAATAAGCTCTAGCGCCTTGTTAATATGTCTATCATGTCTTCTTTGAAACACCGACAGTTCTAGCCATAGGGAATGTACATCCTGGAGGAGGGTGCTCAGAAGTCCTGGTATCAGGACGATGATCCCGCAGATAGAGGTGATCAGGTTGCTGCGGCAGGAGCAGTGCACAACTTTAACTCACGTCATGTACCAGTTTGTCATAGTCGCTTCTACTTGTATCCTGCTGGTGTTTTTGGAATAGCGTTCACAAGCAACAGTCATCTGAAATACAGCTTTTTTTCTTTTTGTTGTAACTATAAATTTCCTGTAGTTACACGGTTTCATCTGAGTTTGTAATTATTTTCTATTCTCCCATTCTTATTGTGTCTGTTTCTGTAAACATCCAAATAAATAAATAAGCACAAGATAAGGCTGATAAAATATTGCATATGTTTCACACAACAATAATAATAAATTATAATATTTAATTATATTTTAATGTGTTTTTTTTTATAGAAACAGTTATCAAGCTAGTTGAATTTGTAGTATGTGGATAATTTAGTTTTTTTACATGAAGTTTTTTAGTGACAGTGACGATTTGAAACTCTTTTTTTTTAAACCTTAAAACAAAATTAATGCTTGATGTGTTGCATAAAACACTTCTGGACTAGGTACTAAAAAACTCTTTGTAAATAATAACAGCAAATAGATAGGGAAATAAATTCTAAAAACTTTAAGTGTTCATTACAACAGATTCCGAGAGCTAAATCCACTCCAGGACACGTCTATCTTTGTCACGTACTAACAAGTTTGCTTTTTTTCGACTATTGGAGATTAATTTGATGATTTTTTTTTCAAATGTCTAACTACGTCCAGAGATGATGAGAGTATTAAAATATCCATACCTATCAACTGAACTCAACTTACAAACACCTGTGACATGAATAGAACTCCACATCATCAATGCCTAAATACAGAATAATAACAGAAGTTAATATACATGGGATGAAGGAGGCGACCAAATTCGGAGTTATCACGTTTCACCATGGGTATGAACAGTTACTTCTAAGGTCACATGCGAAAAGATTAGATGACCTCGTTCTGTGTTAAAAAAATAGAAGTAAATCTGGTCCGTAAATTTTCTAAGATCTATAATCGATGAGAATTAGTCTTTCCTAGTATGCAATAAAAAAAGATCTCAGTCTCAAAACAACACCTAACTTTAAGACAGAGAAAAAAAAACTCATCAAATACTAGATATCCTTCAGATTAATTTGAGTGTCGGAGAAAGACGGTAACCATGCCAACGTTCTAATCGCCTTCTCCATTGATTACCGACGGCACATGCATGCTTCACGCCATCTCGACACAAAACCGGATAAATTCTAAAACTGATGCGAGAAAAACAAGACTTGGTAAATAAATGTATATAATACTATATTCAACCATACACACAAGAACACTACGATTACTTAGTTCAACGAGTTTAACTTAAAAAACTCTTAGATATTTATTGTGTTTTCAGTCTGAACGGTACTTGGCTAAGCAGCTAGGTCAGAAGCCTCGCACTTTCAAACATAACCATCCCAAATTTAGAAATGCTGACCATATGTTTGTTTCACCTTGAATCGCAGTCTCAACGCCAAAATGAGTAACCATACGATAGTTCCAATTTGAAGCACTAGGTTATTTATTCTGGTGTTGTGGTTATGCTAACTACACCTTGAATCACAGCCTCAACACCAGAACGGGTAACCATACGATAGTTCCAATTTGAAGCACTACCATAAACCAGAATAAATAACCATATCCTCGTTTCATCTTGAAGCATAACAATAATAAGTAACCATATGTTACCTCCACTTTGAAGCATACTACCAAAATAAGTAATCATATGTTAGTTCCACCTTCAAGCACAGACACGATATCAGAATGAGTAATCCTATGCTAATCCCACCTTGAAGCACAGCCACAACACTAAAATATGGAACCATATGTTAGCCCCACCTTCAGGCACAAACATCAGAATATATAACCATATGATAACTTCTCTTTGAAGCCCATCACCATATACCAGCCACACCTCCACAACACCAAGATAAGTAACCATATGTTAGCCCCACCTTGAAAAACACAAGTGAAGAGGGCCATGTTACCAAGAAAACGAACACTTAATTCAAGAGGCTTTTAACAAATATATATGCATATGTAATTCAAAACCCAACTGCTTCAAATATGGAGGTTAGGAGGAGTGAAGAATGAACGTGGTTCACTTATAGGCGTTTTTGGTCTAATAAGTGACTCCAAATACTTCTACCATTGCAAATACAAGCATCAGTTGTAAGTCACTCATACATACTCGTCGTTAACAAGGTATATTACTGAAACGCTTTTCAGTTTCTAAGATGGACTTATTTCTTTCGATATACCTTCTGTTTGAATAATAACAAACATGGTCTTCAATGAACTTTGCTTAATTTAGTCATCAACAACAACAAAAGTTCATATCAGGACTTTTTTTCAGGTGAATTTATTGATCTTCTGAGATAAACACATGTTGTTACTGAACGTAACAGTAGAAAATAAGTAAAGCTTTAATAAACACCATTATCTTATACCAATTTTGACGCATATACCTTCACATGTAAATTGCTGGATTGGGTTTGGAAACTATAAACTTGATTAAGTGAATCTTAATATATTAACAGCGAATTTTAAATCCGAAAATAAATCACCATATTTCTGACTGAAGTCGGTTTCCCAAAAGGGGAGAATATTCTTAATACAAATTATTACAAGTTCATTCAGACTTTTTACTATCATCGAGTAATCCGGAAAGAGACATTTCACTAATGATTCATTGAATAATGTCAAGGTTTTCGACGTCATTTCCCACTCTCTGTAACTCCATATATATCTATATAAACACACAGGTACTTTTTATTACCGCTTACTGAGGCAGGCGCGCTAACCTTCTTTAAGTAACAGCGAAACATTTCAGCTATTCTCATAGCTACTAATACCTAAAATTGTACGAGTCTAGAGCTCAACTAAATAGAACGTGAGATTGTTTAAAATATTAGCACAATGTGCGTGTACATGGATGTCAAATAAACAACACCATATAAGAACATCAACAGCTTGTAACTGACACAGTACTTTATAGGGTTAACTTTGTAATAAATATTTATGGAGAGTACATATAACTATACATAAGCCGAGCTGGTATTAGAAAAACAACCCGTGGTGCTGTTGTAATCTATATCGCAATCCTACAGGTGTGCTGATGTAACTTAACGCTCACCTTGAGAATTATAGATTCAGCTATAATGTTTAATATACAGAATAGGTGTAAATGCGTGTGTGACGTTGTAGGTTCCATAAAAGGTAGAAAGATACTTCACATTTCTATAATTTATAATCAGGTAAGTTCATCACGTGATACAGCTTACATCGCAATCACATGATTAGGTACCAGTTGGCATTGGGCCAATTCACAGAAATGTTACGTGTCCGTTCACGTGATTTTGTACAAGTTAAAAGTCCTCTGAAACCTTCGGCTAATTACTTCTCACGGTTGAACAGAGAAGTACAAGATTCAATGATAACTTTTTTGATTTAATAATACCAATAATATATACATATGAGTGAGATACATTTTGAATCGGTTTCAATGATACTGCCAACGATTAAATTGAACTTTAGCATTACGCTGTATAACAGCCACAACACTAGAATAAGTAACCATATGCTAGCTTCACCTTGAAGCACAGCCACAAAACTTGAATAACTAGCTATAAGGTAGCTCTACCTTAAAAACGCCAGAGTTATTAACCGCATGGCTTTTACCAATATATAATCAGTAATATTGTGGTTGATATGAAACATCTTGAACCCCCTTTTTTTTCGTTGTTGACCATCAAGAACAACGTGATTACCTTTTCAAAGTATCATTGAGTACTGCAACATTGAGTAACAATGATGGCTGACGTTTTCTTCAAGTGTGTACTTCCAGATAAGCACGTGGCTTCTGCTGATGAAGATCACACGCGCAAGGTTATCCAGTCAAGTAAACTTCGATCTGATGACTAACATTTTGAGCTTCAAAATATATCAGATGAAGATAACAATTTGACTATCAAATACCATTGAAACTGTTTCCTCATACACACCAATCGCTATTTGAAACGACAAAGTCGGGTTCCTGCATGAACTCCAATGAACCCATCATTCCGTTTCAAACATTGTATTTACACCCTATGTTACGATACAAGGTAATATTGGCAAGTCCTGTTGTTGATAATACCAGTGAGTCTTCGTTAAAGTATTCTGGCGAACATTTACACAGAACTACAACGGGAAAGAAAGGTTCCATAAAAATATCAGGTAGAAATTGTAAACCTTTACCGAGGTCCACATAAATAACACATCAGATTTCATAACATCCACTACGATTTTAAATGTGGAATCTCCATTTACCGCTGTTTGCACAGAACGAGGGGTCATGAAGTAGCGTTTACATTCCTCATGGTACGATACATCAGCAGCATGCAGATCTCTGGTAAAAACCTGCAATCGCACTTGATCATTCTTCTTTCTGATTATCTTTAAATATTTTCTCGCCAGGACCACGGCTTTCAGTTTTACACAGCTTTACATCAACGACTAGGATATTAAGGATCTCGATCGATCACATGTTTCTCCACAATAAATACAAGGTTCTTGAAAACGAAATGGTCTTCAGTTCTTTCAAAGGTTTCGCTTTGAGAGTGGGGGTTCACTTGAAAATAGGGACCAAAATCCGGCCTTGTCGTCTGAAATAGAGATGAACGTGTTAAGGTAATGTATACGAGGAAACGCAATTTTGTTGTGAGTTGTCACAATTGCCCTTTTCATCTGGCAGTTTTTGAAACTCAACGTGTAAGTCATCAGATCGAAGTTTACTTGAGTATATAATCTTGCACATGTAACCTCCATAAGCAGAGATCAATTATTTATCTAGCAGTCTATACTTGAAGAAATGGTCAGTTATCCTTCTAACTTAATGTTATAGCAATCAATGATCCTTTGAAAAGGATATAGCCTTTTAGCAAATCAATACTATGAGGATATGTTTTCTATCAGTTACAGTATTACTGTTTATACACTAGTAAAAACTACCATCTAGGATTCTGGATTAAGTAATAGAGCTTAGATCTGTCATTCGAAAAAAGTAAAAAAACGGATTCCTCGACTCCCGAAACCTAGCCATAGCCACCAGAATTATTATAACAGTCGATATAAGAGACGAGTTATAGCCAAATATGCACTGACGGAAGCCATCTTGAACTAAAAAACAACAATTTAAATGTTAGGTGAAGTGAGAAATGGATTTTTTGACCACAAAAACCTGG